GCCCTATGACATCTGGGTTTGAACTAGCTATTCTGAGCTGCATAAAATACAGATACAGGGGGAACAAGGGTATCTGGCAGTGGCATGGGCTCACTAAATCTCAAGACAAACCTGCTATGCAGCCAGAAGCACCATGAACCCTGAAAGGTTTTATGGGTGTTCAGAATGTTTGTGTGTGCCTGCATGTCTTTATGTGCTTTATGACTATAAGGAAGGGTGTATGATGCATGTATGGACAGCATGTATGGGGAGGATGGGTTGGGGTCCTGGTGCATGTGCTAGAGAGCAATATGTGTTGTGCATGTGTTGGATGGTGTGCATTTGATGAACCTGATGGGGTGGCATACTTGTGTGTTACATGAACGTATTCACATGATAAGCATAAGGGCTGGATGGTAGATGAGTGTGAGGAGTGTGGTACAAATGTGTGTGTGTGTGGAAGAGAGAGATGTGCCTGTGTGATGTGTGTACACATACCATCCAACATGTACATCATATTAATAGGGTCCTCTTAGGCATTATTTAATTATTTTCCTGTTAGATCCCTGCTGGGAGAAAAATCCAGAGATACCAAAGGCTTTAGCAAAAGAAGTGAAACAAGATATTATCTGGGGTGCGATCTTTCCCAGAGCTCCCAGCCTGCAGAGGTGTAAGATTATTTTAAGAACTTTGGAAAGACATCTATAAGCTGACTTCCTTAGATTTTAGGACTAGAATATGCAAGGGTAAAGGGTGTAGGTATATGTGTGCAAAGTGCCACCCACCCGCAAAACTAGCTTGAGGATGGCTATTAGGAACACCAGTCCCACTGCCTCTCATTGGGACTTCTGCTCACAAAGGGCCAGACCCTATTCCACCTATTAGGTGCCTAAGGGCAGGTCTACCCTACCTTGTTTAACTCCTGAAAAGCAACAACTTTTGTAACACATCATCATCTTATGCTTAAGAGTAAGTCACAAAGAAGCAGCGAGGAGGAGGACCTATCCACCTTTGCATTCATTATTTTTCAGTGATTTGAGCAGGGTAGAAAAGAAGCACACATTGGTGCAGAGGCCCTTTGTATTCCTAATAGGTGGAAAAGAATATGGTCCAGCATGCTTTTGACCATCTCTCCCTAATGGTCTGATCTGGAGCTCTGGAAATACTTTGTAACAGACAATTTATGCATATCAGTTTTGCCTCTCTGCAAATTTCCTGCTACTTTTTCATATTTCCTTTTTACAGGTAATGTAATGGCCTGAATTAAAATAGAAGCTGATTTGACAGGGCACATAGGTCATAGGGTGTCCTTTCTGATCCCTGATTGGACGAGCACAGCTCTTAGAATTCAAGTTCCAATGAAAACGCTCAGAATTTTCCATATGAAATGTAATTCCGCAATGTTTGCTTAATATTTAGTCTTGCATCAAACTCTTTGGCTAGAACATTAATAGAACGCAAATCCAAGAGTCCAAAATGCAGGGGGGAGTACACTATCTCTTACTTTTGCTTAAAGTGGCCACGTCTACACAAGACGCTTACTGTGCAGTAGCTCGCTACTACTGCGCAGTAGCATCACCGGGCACAACTCACGACACGATGCTACTGCACAGTAGTAATGAGCTACTGTGCAGTAAGTGTCACTAGGCGACTGTGCCAGGACACTACTTTTAGTACTAGATTATATAAATACTAAATGACTGCGCAGTAACAACTGCGCAATGGCTGTCTCGTGTAAATGCACTCAGCAAGAAGCAAATGAATATTTGGGGATCTGGGGGAGAAATGTCTCAGCTTAGGGCTGAGATAGAGGATGTAGGTCCAAGTTAGAAATCCAGCAATAAATAAAGCTGTGAAGTGGCAGAGCTGGGGGAGTGAGGGGAATAATTTGGGACTGGAATAGCCATGGTCGGGGAAGGTCTATGGGATAAAACTGAGCTGTACAGCACAGTCTCACAGTTAACATTGTCCAGTATTTACCTGCACCTGGGTTGTTTCTGCAGCCTTTGTTATAAAATAGCCACACAAAAAAATTATCCCCCAAACCAAAGCCCAGGTGCCAATCCCATCATATCAAATTGCAGAAGGCGGTTTCATTCCTGGATGTTGGCACTGGCAATGTTTGCCTCTTCTGCCCAGCACATACAGGGACACTGAGAGTGCGCTAGAATCTCAGATGGCAGCGCTGCCTTCCCCTGCCACCCTGGGAGCTGGTGCTAGAATGGAGGAAGCTTCCTGGGCATGCACCAGGCAAAAGGGCTACAACAGCAGATAGCATGCAAAGTGAAAGACAGGCTGGCAGCACCATGTTGGCCCAAAGCTGGCAAGGGGTGGTGCCTCTGCAAAGGCTGCATTTAGCCAGCTCCCCTGATCCTGTGCTTGGCAGGCAGCCCAGGGTCCTGGTGAAATGGGCTTAGTTCGGAGGTTCAATCCCATTATTCGTGCTTCCCTGCAGGAGCTCTTTTCCCCTCTGTAATGCCTCTGCTGGCACACACAGCACAGGCCTACTCAGATCTGTTCAGCAGAGGCACCCTGGAGTGATGCCCAGTCACTGTGCCTGCCCTTTCCCCCACAGCCTCATCTGCCCAACTTTCTCTCCCTCCCCAGCCAGATACCACCCAGAGTATCCATGTGGCATCCTTACAGACAGACAAATCTGCCCAGTGCTGCCCAGTTTGGGTGCAGCACAGCATGTGGAGACCACCATGCGCTTCAGTGCTCCCACTACCCGCATTGAAAATCCACTACCAGGGAGCCCCTGCCGTCCTGAGATGCAGGGCAGAGCAGACCCTGGAAGATTTGCAGTTCAGCCAAAAGGACACAGCACATCTTTGCAAGTGCATAGCTCCAGCATCCCCTGGATCAACTTCTGATAGCCTTCCCTGAGATGATCCGTTCTGGAAAAGGGAGATAACCAAGCCAGTCTGCTGTAAGAAACACAATTGGCCTTCTCTGTAGCTGGCCCAGGGCTCAGGTCCCCACCAGCTCAGGGTGGCACTAAAAAGACCAGTGAGTAGAACAATGGAGCAGCTTGGCTGAGTTTCCCCTCCTTGGAGCCAATATCGAGTCAAGCCAGATGGGGTGGTCTCTTATGGGGCTCATGCATTCTCTGGCTGCTGACTTCCCAAATGGAGGCCAAAGAACATGGATGCTGGGGAGCAGCCGGGAGGGGCTGTGACATCCGGGGAGATAATTACAGCAGGGAGTCTGAGAAGAATAGAGGAGATCAGGGGTGAAGGAATTAGTGCTGGTCCTAGACCCTACCCAGAGCACTGAGCACTAGGGAGGTCTGGGGAAGTTCAGTCCAAAATCGGGACCCTCTGCCCCCATCCCAGTTTTGAGCTCTGGGCTCTGCTTCTGCAGTAGGATTCTTGTCATTGAGCTAACGGGATGGTAGACGGGGCCTTCTGTTTGGAGAAAGTCCTGGACTGGACCTCAGATCATCTAAATTTAACTCCCTGTGTGACTGTAGGCAAGTCACTCAATCTCTTTCTCTCCCCCCATAAAATGAAAATAAAA